TATATATAAATATAATATAAATTTAAATATATATATATATATATTTATATATATATATATATAAATTCTTTTTTTTTCTTTTTTGTATATCATTTGTTTATAAAATATAATAGCGGCAATACACAGAACGCATGCACACACAATTATATTTAATTACATTACTAAAATAATAAGTAAAAGAATAATTAAATAAAATATTAATTAGAATGAAGACATACAGCTTCAGTAATTTCTACAGACAATACACGCAATAAGCAAACATCAAAAAATAATAAATAAATAAATTATATTAATTACATTAATTATATTGAAATAATAAATAAATAAATAATAAACTTAAAATATTAATTAGAATAAAAACATACAGCTTCAATATGACAGGGTATGTGTAGATGATATATATAGAAAATAAACGCAATAAACACAGATAATAAAACAAAAAAAAATAAATAAGTATATTATATTATATTAATTATATAAATTATATTAAAATAATAAATAAATAAATAATAAAGACATACAGCTTCAATATGACAAGGTATATGTAGATGCTCGCAAACAATTTTTATTTCTTTTGTCGTCGGGTTGTCTACAGCAATGTTTAGAGAAACTCTTCTGCCTTGTTTGATTGTATATTTTTTATTTAAATAAGCAGGATAAATAATACTCCATTTCTTTCTATCTACCCCGTCATCTTCTTCGTCTGCTGCTGCTGCTGCTCCTGCTGCTGCTGCTGCTGCTGCTGCTGAACCTCCTTTAAACCCTAAACCCTTCTGACTCGCTAATAAACGCCCTAATATCTCGGGGTTAAACCCCAGAGATTCTTCTGGGTTGCTGCTCATTGCAGCAGCAGCAGCAGCAGCAGCAGCAACAGCAGCACGAGCAGCAGCAGAGTTGTTTGCAGGCTGCTTATTTCTTCTTTTGCTGCTTCTTGGGGATCTCTAGATGCTCAAGGTGCTGAGTTATTGAAAAAAACAAGAAATGCTTTTATTGCTGCTGCTGCTGCTGCTGCTGCTCCTGCTGCTGCTGCTGCTGCTGCACTGCATGCATCCTCTCCCCTCCTCTACAGCAGCAACAGCAAACAAACGCAACCTGCTGCTGCTGCTGCTGCTGCACCAAATGAGACAAAGACAAAAGAAAGAATATCCCGCTGCTGGCTCCGTGTGATGTCCTTCTTGCTGCTGTTGTTGTTGCTGCTGCTGCTGTTGCTGCTGCTGTTGCTTCTGTTGCTGCTGCTGCTGCTAAGGATGATAGCAGCTCGTGGGGTTTCCCGGTCTGAACAGACACGGGGCTTTAAGGGGCACCCTAAACCCTAAACCCTAAACCCTAAACCCTAAAGCCTAAACCCTTTTGAAGTGAGGTGTATGTACAGCTGCTTAGGGTGTCTCTGCAGCAGCAGCAAGCGTATAGTGAGGGTAAAAGAGATATTATTTGATTGTTTTTCATTAAAAGACAAATAAAATAAATAAATAAATTATATTTGAAGAAGATCTTCGTCTATTGCATAGCCTACCCCTCAACTGCTTTATATGCTGCATGCGGCTGCTGCCGGCTGTGTAAGAGCAGTAGACAACAAATAATTATAATAATATGTTTTTAAATTTATTTTCTTTTAATTAATTTATATTTATATTCTTTTCCTTTTTTATTCACCTCATTTACACCTTTCTTGCTGCTCTGCTGCTGCTGCTGCTGCAGTATTTGCTGCAGCCTCGTCTTCTTAGAGGGCTGTCTGTCTTCTTTATGTTTGCATCTCTGCATTATAAATAAAATAAAAATAAATTAAATTAAATTGAAATATATTAAATCAAATTAAATAAACGCAACTCTTCAGTCTACACCCTAATAATAACAACAATACCTCCAGCAGCAACACAAGCAGCAGCAGCAATATCAGCAGCAGCAGCAGCAACAACAGCAACAGCAACGGAAACAGAAGCAACAGCAATAACAGCAGCAGCAGCACCATGTGATAGTCTTCAATTACGCAGAGATGGTCTGAGGCAGCGTGCATTATTAGGGTTTAGGGTTTAGGGTTTAGGGTTTAGGGTTTAGGGTTTAGGGTTTGTTGAAGACCTTCTCCCCCTTTACTCCTCTTCCCCTGTGTCTTCTTTATCTATGTTCATCTGTTCGCACATCTCCAAGTGCTTCCAGCTGCTGCTGCTGCTGCTGCTGCAGCTGCAGCAGGCTCCGCCTGCTGCCTCTTTCGTTGTGTGCTCTCCTGGACATCCTCATAATGCAGCAGCAGCAGCAGCAGCAGCAGTAGCTGGTGCAGCAAGAGCTGCAGCAGCAGCAGCTTCTTTAGCTGATGGAGGCCTTTATTCTTTTTCTTCTTCTTTTTCTTCATTTGCTTCAAAGCGCTGCGGTGTACTCACACCTCCGCTGCAGCGACATGCAGCAGCATTCGTAGGCTTGCCTCTATCTGCTGCTATTCAGCAGCAGCAGCAGCAGCAGCAGCAGAGGGCTTCTCTGTCTTCTCTTGCCGCCAAACCCTCTACAGCTGCAAATTCAGACGCAGCAAACCCAAACAAACAGCAGCAGCAGCAGCAGCAGCATGAAGAGCAGCAGCAGCAGCAGAAGCTTGAGGCCCTGGAGATCCTTCCACCGCCTTCCAGCAGCAGCAGCAGCAACAGCAACAGCAGCAACACCAACACCAACAACAACAACAGCAGCAGCAAGAGCAGCAGCAGCAAGATCAGCAGCAGCAGCAGCAAGAACAGCAGCAGCAGCAGCAAGAGCAGCAGCAGCATGCGTTTATCTTTATTGCGTGATATATCTGGGGGGTATGTTTTAGATAAGAAGAGTGCAGATAAAGAACAACAAGACGACGACGAAGATATATTATTATCTGTATCAGACTTAGAAGCTGTAGCAGCTGAAGACAATGAGAAGATATTAAAAGGGATCAATTTAGATATTAAACAAAATGAAGTGCATGCAGTCATGGGTAGAAACGGCTCTGGTGAGACATTCTTTGCTTTTTATTCTCGTGTCTTTGTTATGCATGTCTTGTTTATTTATTATATGTTTATTTATTTATTTATTTATTTGTTATTTATTTGTTTGTTTGCTTGTTTGTTTATTTGTTTATTTGTTTGTTTGTTTGTTTATTTGTTTGTTTGTTTGTTTATTTGTTTATTAACTTAATATATTTATTTATTTATTTACCTATTCTAATATTTATTTATTTATTTATTTTATTTATTTATTTATTTGTTTGTTTATTTGCCGTCTCTTCTCGCTGTCTCTGTCTCTGTCTGTCTGAGTGTTTGTTCTTGGGTTTTATTATTATATATATATTTATATATGTATATATTTATATATTTATATATTTATATATTTATATATTTATATATTTATATATTTGTTTATATACATTTATTTATTTATTTATTTATTTATTTAATTTTTTTCATGTCTTTCCTTTCGTTAGTTTACATTGGATTTGTGGTTTAAATCTGCAAACCCTAAACCCTAAACCCTAAACCCTAAACCCTACGCCATCAGTATCAGTAGTCCGCATCTGCATAGACCCCTAAACCCTAAACCCTAATTTCTAAACCCTAAACTCTAAACCCTAAACCCTTTTTGCTAGGCGAATGAAGCAGCCTCCCCGTGGCTTATATAACCCTCTATATATACTATCGTGACCCCGTAAACCCTAAACCCTAAACCCTAAACCCTAAACCCTTATTTTGTGCGTGTGTGTGTGTATATGATTGTTGTATGTAGGTAAATCAACATTAAGCAAAGTATTAGCCGGATCTCCTTCTTATAAAATAACGAAGGGGACAGCAAAGTTTAAAGGGTTTGATCTGGCGAAGATGAGCGTAGATAAGATATCTTTACTAGGGGTCTTTCTTTCTTTTCAGTACCCAATAGAGATCCCTATGCTGTCTACATTTAATATGCTTAAAGCAGCAATTAACGAGAGAAGAAGGGCTAATGAAGAAGATGATATCACAGATGCAGAGCTTGAGGAAACTCTTAAACCACTTGCACAAGTAAACCCTAAACCCTAAACCCTAAACCCTAAACCCTAAACCCTAAACCCTTGGGTTCTTTAAAGCACTCACTTTCTCTTCCTTTCTTTGTTTGTGTTTATTTGTTTTGTTTATTTTAATTTGTTTTGTTTGTTTGAATTTGTTTGTTTGGTGTATTTGCTTTTTATTTTAATTCATTTGTATTTGCTTGTGTGCTCCTGCTGCTGCTTCTGTTTCCGCTGTTGCTTTTATTTCGTCTGTTGCTGCTGCTGCTGCTACTAATGCTGCTTCTGCTGCCGCTCCCGCTGCTACTGTTGCTGCTGTTGTTGCTGCTGCTGCAACTGCTGCTGCGCTGTTGCTTCTGCTGCTGCGCTGTTGCTGCCGCATCTGTTGCCCCTGCTGTTGCTGCTGCTGCTGCTGCTGTTGCTGCTGCTGCTGCAGTTGGTGGATTTGCCTTATTCTTTTTTACATCGGCCTTTGAACTACGGGTTTAGCGGCGGAGAGAAGAAAAGAAACGAAATTGTGCAGATGTTAGCGCTCAAACCTTCTTTAGTTTTGCTTGATGAAGTAGACTCAGGGCTTGATGTTGACGCATTTAATATTGTTGCAAAAGCTATCAAACAATATGGTAAACCCTAAACCCTAAACCCTAAACCCTAATGCAACCCTAAACCCTCACAGCGAAAACGAAAGCCCTATACATCATCTGTAGCAACTTCCACATAAACCCTAAACCCTAAACCCTAAATAAACCCTCAGCCTGAAAGGAAAGTGAACCCGGCGGTGGTCAGTCGCACCCAAACCCTAAACCCTAAACCCTAAACCCTAGACGGTCTGTTTGTGCTTGCAGCGGAGAGCAGCAAAGCTTCATTTATTATAACGACGCATTATAAAAAACTTATAGAGATTATAAAGCCTCATAAGATACACATTATGCATGAAGGTAGGATTGTACAGAGCGGCGGAGAAGAACTTGCAGCACAAATCGAAGAAGGAGGGTTTGAAGAGCTCGTCAAATAAACCCTAAACCCTAAACCCTAAACCCTAAACCCTAATGGGCAGCAAATGCTGCGCTTTCAGACGCATATCCTATTTTTAAAAACCCTTTTTTGAAACAAATAAACTCTAAACCCTAAACCCTAAAGAGATGTATGTTCAGGTGTATGTACATCTCAGTGCAGGAGAAGTTTAAATTAATTAATTAAATATACGATTGGTTAAATATAAAAACTAAAGAGCGAAATAAAGAGCACAGAAAAAACACAAAAAAGAAAATCCAAGGACAATGCACCAACTGCAACAGCAGCAGCAGCAGGAGCTGCTGCTGCTGCTGCTGCTGCTGCTGCAAGGGTTTAGCAACAGCTGCAGCAGCACCAGCTGCTGCTGCTGGTGCCGCAGCAAGGGTCCAGCAACAGCTGCAGAAGCTGCAGCAAGGGTATAGCAACAGCTGCAGCAAGTAAAGCAGCAGCAGCTGCTGCTGCTGCTGCAGCTGCTGCTGCATGTGCTGCTGCTGCTGCAGCAAGAGTTGAGGGTTTAGGTTTGTTTGTTATCTGTGAGACAGAGAGCGAGGCCGATAATAACGAAGACAGCTCCAGCGATTTC